TAGCCAGAGTGCTATTAACTCTGTTTCTAAAACAATTCTGATTTTTGAGCACACCTGAGGAACTATTTGGTACTTGGTGATACACAAACCCCAAGCTGCAGCCTTATACATCCCTCCTTTGTCATTCCTGCTCCGTGCCCTGTCCTCATTTCCCCACAGGGATTTACACTGCAAAGGCACGTAACAGAGCCCACACTGCTTCGTGTCACTCCTGGGAGAAGGAAAGGGAGAAGCCAGCTGATAAAAAACATGTCTAATACACAGGGAAAGAGTGTGGAGCTTGTTTGTGTGCTTCTCACCATATCCCCTGTACGCCAACAGTGTTTCCACCAGCGGGCTCTGCTGCCACGAGCACCCCCTCCCCCAGAGCCGAGCGCTTTGGGTCACATACCAATTCCATTCACCACGGGGGGGTCGGGACCGACTTCCAACACACTGGGCAAATTCGGTTCTCCTTCATGATCATTTAAATCCGCGTTTTGCTGCTGTGAGCCATTCCCAAAATGTCTAGAATCCTTCTCGTGGCTGCCATCTCCGTTCTGCAGCCCATTGTGTGGCTTTTTCAGTGGCATGATCTGCAACCCGCTGGGGGTAGTTCGGTAAGTCACGGTTTTAGCAGCCCTGTCATTGGCAGAGCCCGGCTTTGCTGCGTATCCTCGTTTCTGTTTTTGATGAGATGGATTAATTCTCTTCCTTTTGTGTGTTGATCCTTTAGACTTGCCAGATTCAGAAGGTCTGTGGGATATTTTCTCGACAGACGACCCTCGGCTCTCCCGCAGCAGTTTGGCCGTGCTGGGCTGTTTCCCGTGCCTGGATCTCTTTTCTCTGGTCACGTGGAGTCTGTTGAACTCATCAATAAATTCCTCACAATGCAGTAGATGATGTTCAGGTTCCCAGGTGTCTTCATTGCTTCCATAACCTTTCCACCTGATGAGATATTCCCATTTGCCCTTCTTGTTCTTCCTTTTGTCTACAATCCTCTCGACCTAAAGGAAAAAACCAAAAATATATTAAAAAGAATTCCCTTGAGCAGAGCTGACAGTACAGGAGAGGAATCAGAGCCCCAGTGGTATTTGGACAGCAAAGCCACTGCCCCTTCTGAAAACATCAGGAGAGACATAAACACCTGCTCAAATCTGATCTGGGCCCTTCAACAGCCCCAGTGTGAAGAAACAAGAGAGAGTCTGAGATCATTAACGAAGGCACAATTTCTTTGAAAATCTGGTTGGAAAATGAGACAATTACTGTTACATTCCTCAGCTACCTCTTGCTTGAAAGAGCTAAATAAAGCATCTTTTGCTGCATTGTTAGTGATTCTCCTGAATCCACACATGCATTATGTCCCTGTAAACTTCCTCGGTCTTCTTTGTGTCTTGGAACTACCTTGAACAGAGAATTGATTACAGTATTTTACAGCAAAGATCTTATTTGCAATACTGTACATCCACTTTGCTACTTCCAACCTACAAAAATTTGTATTTTTAGGAAGGCAAAATTTGAGTAAATTCACAAAATTTGTGAGTGCATCGATAAAAGAACCCAACCAACCAAAAGGCATCAAGGCAGGATTCTTACATGGAAGGAATGACTTCCATCAGCCTGTGCTGGAGAATGTCAGTGCAAGGAACATTTCTGCACCAAGGGCTGTGTTGGGATTGCACACAGAATGTGAATTAACAGCATCCTGCTGTTGTAGAACATGGACTGTACAACTGGAGAAATCTTTGTGCTACCTCAGTGCTGGCAAAGCCTCAGTAGGGGAGGAGTGCCCAGGAAAACCCAAACACAACCAGTTGGCAGCAAGTCAGGGGGTTAAACTGCACCAAGTGAGATTCAGATCCAGTCTTTAAGAAAAATGATGTAATGGTAGTAGGAATTCAGCATTAGAAGGTAGGGAGGGTTTTTAGAACTAACAGTTTTTGTTACATACATCTACCACGAAAAGTCAATGCTGGGAAATCAGTTATGATAAGGAAGCCTTCAAAGGCTCTCCCAAGTTTTGTTTTTTGGTTCTTTAATTTTTTAGGGTTTTTTCTTTAATATGTGGTTTATGAAGGATAAAGATGCCACTAACGAAAAAAAAGAATCATTATCACTAACCAAAAGCAGTATTGTTAATTTAGAAAAATAAAAAATTGGATAGCTCCTGTAACAGCTTTCACTGCTCTTCAAAGGAAAATCATCTCATGTGAAGAACAACAGAATCTGTATGGAGAATTTAACCTTGAGGAAGGGCAATCACAGCAGTGTGAGTAATTGTTCTTTCTGGGTCCCCTGTTAGAGCAAACCAGTGGATTAATTCTGGCTGTTCACTGCCTGGAACTGTACATTCAGAGAGATCTTGGTGGGTTCCCCAAAGGACTCTAAATGTAATTAGCAACTAAACATTATACTTCTGAGTTCATTTACATGGGAACTGTGCTGAGATATGTGTGAGTCAGAGTGGACACAGGAGCCTTCCTCCATCTCCAGGCACTCCCTGCACCAGCCCAGCCAGCTGTTCCTGTGCTCTGGCTGATCCAGTATCTGCATGGAACCTCCTCAGAAGCAAAGCAAGGCATCCTCTTCACTCTGAATTCAGCAGAGTCCCCTTCAGGACTGCCCAGGATGGCAAAACAATTAACTGAAGCTCAGCCTGAGCAAGTTTGAGATCATTTGTCTGAAAAGAGGGAAAAAGCTTCACAAAATAAATGAACTGGCTTTTTTTTTTTTTTCTGCCCTCATGTGGGACGTGTGGCTTTCAATTGTCAAACTAATAGTAGACTTATAATGATCTTGTTGACTTTATAGAGAGCAGCTGTCCAAATTATCCTTGGCTTTACAATGCTTCTCATCCTCCTATCTGGGATCAGCCAGAAAAACTGAACATTGAACTGTGCAACTCTGTATGGGCTGCCTTGGATTTGTTACTTTAATTACTGCAGCTCACTATACCAAGGAGCAAAACACACATATGTGTGTCCTGGGGAAAAAATTAAATTGCTGCTACACTCAGCAGACCTCAGCTCTCAGTACTGGAGAGCCTGGACCACTGAACACCACCTGCATTCCCTCCCTTTTTCATTCAGGAGTTTGGAGCTGGAACACAAACTCGGTGTCAGGTTGGTGCTTCCTCAGAGTAACTTGTCTGTCTTTGAGGGATTACACCAGCTGCACTCCCCACTTGCTCACTGAAGGAAGAACCTCACAAAGGATGGGCAAATACCTCACCTTCTTTGGGATCACACACAAGAACCATCCCCGTTTTTCACTATATCACTGTATTCCTGTCTTTAACTGCACAGATTTCACATTGCTGCTCCACAAGGAGAGAAAGGAAAAGGAAGAGGTTTTGTGGAGGGCATTTTTTAATATGGAAAGCACTCAAGTATTTTGGTGATGAGGCATCCTGCATTTCAATGAAGAGGATAAAAGGAGACAATATGAGTGGTCTTTGTTCCTGGGAAACAAAATACTGGCAACGAGGAATGTGATTAACGAGTTCAACACATCACGAAGGGAGAATAAAAATATTTATGAAATTGGGTCAAATTTAATAAATGATTTCCGAAAAAAAACATTCAGAAAGCAAATGTATTTGGGAAAGACTCAGCGTTTCATTACAGCATTTTTGGAACAAAACTCTCAGTGTTCCCTCTCAGATTTAACGAACTAAAATAAAGAGGGACAACACAAACTGAAGACAAAATGTTTTGTTTCTGGTCAACCCTCTTTTCAGTTTATTGTTTTGCTGGGGAGCAAATGAAAAAAATGTGGGCTGATCCAAAATTAGTTTGTTTTCCTTGATTTTTTTTTTTAGTTCAACCATAATACCCAATGGCTTGACTAATGATGCATAAAAAGTCTGAGTAGATATTTTCTCGTCCTCATTACGGCCTCATTGTTCATCACTGAATGCAGCTCAGGGGAGCATCCAACATACTTGACCTCTCAACATGGTCCCTTTTCTTTCTTGGGGCTTTAAGTTCCTCAGTAATATTTATCCCCTTTACAGTGCCACTGTGAGGTGCTTCACTGGAGGTACAAATATCAGGGATTTACCCACACCTCGTCCTGTCTGTCCCATTTTCCTTCTATCCACAGTGCACAGTAACAACAAACACCATTGCTTTGGTTTTTAATGATGTATATTGGTTTCAACAGGTGGTATATAAAGCAATAACCTTTCTACATTTACTTAACGTTGCACAAATCATATGAGTTTTCTTGATGAGAAATAATTCTGTGACAGATTAGTAGAAGTAATACTTGAATTCTTCCCCTAGAATAAGCAATACACAGTTCTGAGGATATGCAGAAAATATCTTGGGCTTCAGTGGCTGATCTTCCCTTTTCCCCCCTCAGATCTGTCTTTAATCAGGACTGAATCACATCTTCCCAAAAGTGACCTTGGTAGTTACAGTTGCCAAATCCCTCAGTTCACTACATTTGCTTTGGAAAACTAAGCACTTAAATGTAATAAAATGAAATGATTGCAAACAAACTTTACAGAGGTATCACAGTTAAGAAAGTGCCAGAACTGACATGTTCCATCACTTCCTTGGATTCTCTCTTTCCCTGCCACTCCTGGCTAATTTTTGGATGAACTGAGGTGCTGATATGTTGCCATATAAATACCTTTAAAGAGAACAAATAGAATGAGAAAATGGCATCTGTGCAAATGCATTTGCAACACACTTTTTAGCTTCCAACTAGCCTTAAACCAAGCTCTATACACAAACCAGGATGAGAGGCATAAATAAAAAGACTTTAGAAGATATCTTTATTCTAAACTTAATGTGAGATAAAAAAAACAACGAATCAATTACACTATAAATATCTAGAGCTTGGTAAACTGAAGTGCTGTGCTTATATATGCAGAGTACAACACACACATCCCTTCCTTCACAGAAGATTCAGGGTCAAAATCATTTAATAACACAGTGTTACTGTTCACTTATCAAAAAAATTAAATCCAGGCTAAGTTAAAAGGGGTAATTCCTATGGAATTATTTCTACAGATGTAACTGTGAAGTTGAAGCACAGTTCACTCATCTCACAGTTCCCAGCTCTGAAGAGCATAAATAAAAGTCCTTGCACACCCAGAAAACACCTTCCAGGAGATCAGTAAACCTCCAGAAAGGTCTGGAAGATTGCAGATGTACTCAGTGATTTCCAAAGTAAGTACATGTCATCTCCTCTCCTTGCCTTGCATATCCATGTAGGCATTTAAACTGTTATCTGGGATGTTCAGATGGTCTCTGTCTCAGGGAACTCTTCTGAGCAGCAGCCACTGCACGACAGACACAGAAAAACTGCTTTTCATTACTGTGATTACAGGACTTGTGCTGCTGCTTCGTGTGTTTTTTTCATTGGAGGTCTTTGTCCCATGTTGTGCCTCAGGGTGTTGGAAGGGTATTTGAAGGAAGTGCCAAGGAGAGGAAGGCAGTAAGATTTCTGAGAGAGATAAAGGCCATCTGATTCAACATGTTTGTCTTTTCAAAATTCAGTATTGCCCCAACTTCCCTCTTTTCATTCCGTTTGCTTCGAGATACAGAGCATTTCATTAGCTGTAAATCTCTTGCCTGCTTGTAACTTATTTTTGTTTCTCAAAATCTGGTAATTGGAGCATTTGTTCCAGATGTACAAGAAATATGGCAGCATATCTCCTGAAGGAGCCACTATTCGTGTTAGAAAAATAACAGTGGAATGAAAGCTGAGACTCTCTTCAGAACCTGCCCCACAGAGTAGGGCCAGTCCATGAGTCAGCTATGGAACCCCCCAGTAGAAAATCTGTGTGGTTACCTGGAAGGTCAAAATGAAAGTGCAAGGGCCAGATAGTCACAAAAATGCAAGGGAAGACATTGCTCATCTGAATTACTCAGAACATCAAATGACACCTTCCCAGGAAGGCCACTGAACACCCTCTTAGTGTTAAGAAGACACTGCTGTTTATGCAGTTCCTTTTTTCCTCCTTTTAAGCATATGGGTTTTTAATTTTCTATTATTTTCCCCTGTTTTATAATTGTTTTAGAATCAGAAGAGGTGTTAAAACTTATCAGGGAAACCCTGAAACTTCTGCATTTTCACTGGGAAAAGCCTGGTATTAAGCACGGCTGGAAACCACTGCGTTAGGTGCATGTGTCCTCCAACACACACGTACCAAGGCTTAAAACAGAACAAATAAATGCTGTTAAATCTCCTGCTGGTCCCTGTGTGCAAACCTGCACCTTTGATCCTCCTCTCCTGAGAGACCTCAATGCTGTAGAGGCTCCCTGCTGGGAGATCCGATGGTCCTGGTTTAGATGGAAACCCAGGAGTGCACTGCCATTAGTTGTATTTTACAGGAGTGATGCAGCCATTGGAAATTCCTGCTAAAAGTGGTGTTTTCACATTCCTAACTTTTCTGGCCCCAGCATTTTGCCCTGTGTAAGTGCACTCTGTGAGTTCCCTTCCCTGCCATCTGGGCATTTAGAACCCCCTGAAGGATGAGCCTCGCTCCGTGAGGACGTGAGCAACACGATTTCCTCGTCGTGCCAAGGGGCTCCTGGCAGAGGGACCTACTTCCAGAACCAGTGGAGATGAGATGGAGCCCTGGCTGAGAGCCTGGAGACAAACAGCCCCAACCCCAGCTTCCGTGCTCACTCATATCTCCAGGGACCATCCGCCCGTTTTCTTGGAAGTCCCACCTTTCTCTGAAATTCGGTCTCTCTGAAACTGAAATTCTGGTCTGGGCTCTCAGTTGTTCTTTTCTGCCTCCTTTCAAAACTGCCCCAGTGCCACATCTCCAGTTCCACACCAGGGCCGTGGCTCCCATTTGTCCCCGTTGCTGACCCTACTCACAGAACCCATTTCTATGACCCCTCCTCTTGGTTTGTGTCCAGCAGCTTTCTCCTGGTCAGTGCTTACAGTACTCCAAACTCCCAGTTTGTTAAAGCCATTTCCCTCTCCCACTATAAATCTAAGGGTGTAATCTACATAATTTTCCTCTATTAGGATATTTAAGTGCATGTGTATAAACAATACCTGTGGTGGAAGTGCCACAACCACTGTGAGGTTTGGAGCAAACAGGAATAATAATATACACAGGAATCTTGCACTGGAGGAAGGACATTTTTGTACAGACCGATACTGTCCCTCAGAAAAGGAAAATTGAGAGATGACACAGGGATCAGGAATGGACTTTTTGATCAACTTGGGTAGTCCCTGTCACTGCAGGCAATTACATCATACAAACCCTTTCATATTGGACATGTTCGTGATCCAGAACATATTTCTGTCCGGGCTTATTGCTCACAGATTGAACAGCAAAGAGCTGTTCATTCCTAAATACAATAATTTCATAAAATATATTTCAGGTTTTCATTTGGAAGGTCAGATGGTTTTCAAAGGTGCACGAGAAGTGCACAAAAAATAAAAGATCCTCTTTAGCACCAGGATAAGATAATGTTGAGAATGTTCTTTATTGGAGGAGGAGCAGGGTTTTTGCCTTTGCAATCCAGCAGTGCACCTGTGTCATCACAAACTGTTCTGCAGAGTGGGGGAGACCCTTTGGGTCTGTTCCTTTGACTCACAAACATTGTCAACACGTCCAACACCCAGAGAAATCCAAAGAACACGGAGGGTTCTGTTTATTTTAAAGCACAGCGACACATTTAATTTATCAAATCCCTTTTTCCTCTCGTGCAGTAAATCAGTTCATTATTGTCTTTCATGGTTCTTAAGGAAAGCAAAGCAAGAAGCCAAGTCCTGGGTGTCCCTTATGCTAAGAAGTGGTCAGTTCTGAACACAGCCTCCACAAACTCACTGGCACAATCCATTCCAGAGTGGATCTGTCCCAGTGCTGCCTAGAACATTTGAAGTGGATGAGAAATGCCTGCCTTGATTTCAGCACTAAAGTACAGCTGGTAGTTTTTACTGTACTGCTACATTTGTTTTGGACATTATAGTGCACGCTTTAAATTTAGAACCAACAGATATTTTCCTGTTTTGTAGACCAAAACAAAGTGAAAAATAAATGCTGTTCCCATTTACCATGGCAAGAGAGCTTTCCACAGCCAGTGGGAGCTGCTGGTCCCAGAGAACTGAGGCACGGGCGGGGTTTGCTCGAGGCAGAGCTGTTCCTGCACAGCCTATTTCTGTGACGATCACAGATGACTAAAGGATGAGTGAGAAATCTAAATTCAAGGAGACAAAATATTTTGCTAAGCTCTACAAAGAGCTGGCTGTTTTGGACACATGTGTGGCTCTCAGCTTTCTAATACTGTGGACTCCTTTCTCAAGTTTCTCTGCCAAATTCAAGGGGATTCTCCAGTTTTAAACCATCCAAGAGGATGTGTGTGGAAAATGTGTTTATCAGCAAAGAGTTCAGCACAACCTAGTAAGGCTCTGATTCTGCCTATGCTTCCTTTACAGTGCTACAAGTCAGCAGAGTTATTCCCCAGTAAAGTCAAAGTAGGAATCCCTGGGATTTAAACCATGAGGTTTTTAGTTTTTTATTTTAAAAGCGGTTTATAGGAACAGGAGCAGGACTTGAAGAGACTTCTAAGCAAACCAGTGTTTATGTGAACAGATCACAGTTTTTACTGCCTGGAACTTGTTAAAAATATCACGTTTCCAAACAGATGTAGAAATGTGTAAGCAACAGTTGAAAAATAAAAATACAACTATCACTAAAGGTGCTCTTCAACATTAAAGCAAGTCCAGAAATGCAGGAAGCAACTATTAATTTACATGAAACCTGCATATGAAATCATTAGACAAAAATTAATGCTGTCTTCTTTTATGTTCATTGGCAGTTTGTTCTCCTCTACCTTGTTCAGTTCTGGCTGATTTTAGTGTTCTGCTGTACAGTTCACCCAGCCCCTTTCTCCTCCATATGGGCTTCATTGAGATTCAGCTCAAGGCCAGGACTTCAGTTCAACACTTTTACATCCCAAAGCTTAGTCAGAAGTGAAGATTCAACATTAAAAAAATACAAAGGTTTAGCTCTAATACAGTACAAATAAATATTCGAGCTACTTGTACTTCCACTCAGTGACTCACTGCTTTACAAACACTACTGGCACGACTGTCACAAAATAAACCACATGTTCTTGTGGGGCAGGTAGAAAAATATTTTCTTAGCCCTTTTACAGCAGTGGTGAACTTGAGCACAAAGGAGTGAAAGCCCTGGTTTCGGGGAGGGGGTGTTTCCAAAGGTGCTGAGGATTTAGGATTTCAGATGTTCAGAGAGGCTTTACCAGCTGAGGAGGGCGATTGCTGGCCCTGCACAGCTCACACATTGAGGAGATGAGACAAGGGATGGGTACAGAGTATTGAGGGGTACCAAGGGATACAGCTCAGTCCAAGTGGCCATTGTACTGAAGGGAATTTTACAGTGATCTCCAAGGGAGGAAAATGCAGTAGTTTTGTAGAGATTTTCAAGGAACGTGCCCCAGACTGAAATGACAGTTTGGTGAAAAGGAAGGCTCTGGGTTGGAAAACAAGACAAATGAACAACTAGACATAGTTACTCCAAGATCTGGGATGTGAGATAGCAATTTTTGGGAAAGAATCTCCAGTGGCAGTCTGTGTTTTGTAGCTCCTGCATACAGGGAGACACATGGTCACTGCTCCAAGCCTGCCAGAGGTCAAGAAGTGTTTGGATGATACTCTCAGGCACATGGTGTGACTCTTGGGGAGGGTCCTGTGCATGGCCAGGAGCTGAACCCGATGACCCTTGTGGGTCCCACCCAACTCAGCACATTCTGTGATAACTGTTTTTGAAGTGATTGTCATGGTTTTGGAACAGTATTCTCTAATTTAATGCTCCCAGTAAAACCACCCAGTGCTCCCCCTCCAACTGGAGGCACAAAAGGCTCCACCACATTCTGAGATGGAAGGAACCCATTCTCCCTGGAACAGACTGTTCTCACCCAAAAACCAAATCCCCTTGAGGGGGACATCATGTTTCCCCATCTCTCTGCAGCACCCACCAAGTGCACCCAAGTCCTTGAGCAAAAAACAACCCCATGGGTGGGTTTGCCTTTGCCTGAGGCAGGACTAATCCAAACTGTCTTCCCTGACACATTCCTCATTTATCACAGGGACTTTATCCCTCCTGTGGTAGGTGGAGGTTCTGACTGGGCAGGGACAGCTCTGTTGGTGGAGCCTTGGGTGTGCACTGACCAGGTGGCCTTGGCTAAACGTAGATCCTGATGTTTGAAGTCCCACCATCCGTCGCTTTCCATGTGGTTTTTAACAGTCCATTGTCCCGTTCAGCTTTCCCGGGGGCTGGTGCATGACAGGGAATGTGATCCACCCCCTCAGAGCTGTGCTCTCTGGCCCAGGTGTCTGTGAGGCTGTTTTTGAAATGGGTCCCATGGTCCGACTCCATTCTCTCTGAGGGCCACAGGACCTGCTTTCCCAGGCCCAGGATGGTGTTCCAGGCAGTGCCACGAGGCACAGGATGCGTCTCCAGCTGTCCAGGGGGTGTTTCCACCATGGTCAGCACAGAGCCCTTTCCCTGGTGGTTTTGGGCAGTGGATGTAACCAATCTGCCAGGCCCCTCCCCAGCACTGACACAGAAGGGACAAGAAAATGCAGAACTCTGTCCATGTTCTGTTAGTGACTGGGCAGAGATAAGGAGATATCAGAAGCATAAATCACATACCCACTTCATACTCTCTATCCAGACTAGAATAGGTGGCAACTGGTTTGGAGCATCCATAGAGCAAAGGTAGTGACAGTCAAATTTGTGAATAATACCATGCAGGGAGAGGTTTAAAAAGGAAAGGGCTAAAAATAGATAACTTTGTACAATATAGAAGGCTGAGGGGTGATCCTTTGAGTAAAAAGCTGAAGTAGCAGTTTGTAAAGTAGTGGGATAATAAGAGAAGAAAACTCATGATACACAAAGGTTTCTTTCAGAATTCAGTAGAATTCTTCATTTTCTTGGTTACACAAATGAAGTTAATGTGGTGGCAGAATACAGGAAAGAGCCAAAAAGAAAGGTAGAGCAGAAAAAAGGAATAAAGAAACTTGCTTTAGGCAACTATAATGGCATGACAGGAGCACAGGATTTTACAGCGAAGTATCCAGGATACCAGAGCAACATCACAGAAAAATGGCACAGAAAATTTCAAAAATTATCTGTGAAGGAGTAATTGTCAAAAAGGAGGAATAATACATCATTATCCCCTCAGAAATAGCATTTAGATGAGCAGGGTCAGTAGGCCAAGTTCTGGCCTCAATTATTGCATTGCATTGGTTTTCACTGCAGATTTAATTTGTGTTTGAGACCTGAATTCAGCCCAGTGTAAAACCAACTTGCTCCTGGTGCCTGGAAGGAACAAACTCTCATGGACAGTAGTGAAGGCAGCTATGAAAGCTGTTACTGTTCCTCAGACAGATGCATCTTAAATCACTGGAGAGTGCAGCTGGTTGGAAATCTGCGTTTAACAAGTGGGGACAGTGCTCTGAACATGGACATGGAAGGTGTAAAAGCATTGATTTAACCTGAGGGTGCTTTGGAGGAAAGAGCTGGGCTCTGGGAGCAGCCCCTTTGCTCACAGGGTGGGAGGCACCAACACTGTGCCTGTCCCAGTGTGTGCAGTGAGCCAGGCTGGCTACACCAACCGTGGGGCAGCTCTGCCCACGCTGCTGTGACACTCCCTGGCCATGGCACCAGCCCCTGGGAGGAACTCCCTGCAGTGGAGGAGACAACCTTGTGCTGTCCTCAGGCCCTGTGACCTCCTGAAAGCTGACTTTGGCACAGGTGGGCCCCATTCCCTGGTCTCAGTGAGTCCTGTGTCAGCCCTGGTCATTCCCACAAGCTGAAGACGTGTTAACTGATGTGCCCCCAGTTCCTTCAGCTCATCGTTGTTCCTCATGATAAGGTTTCAGCCAAGTGTTGGCAGGACTTCCAGCTGTAGGGGTTGCTATCAACTGGAATCCATTACTTCTTTCAGGGAGGTCCTAAGGAACAACCCTGGGGTTTCTGTGGTGGAGAGGTGCAGATCTTGCCATCCTGCTCCAAACACCTGCCAGGGTTCCTCTGGAGGTACGTGCACATCTCCATGCTGTGGGCACCTTCTCTTTCTGTTCAGAGATGAGGCAGAGCTGCCAAGAGCCAGGGTGAGACTGGAACCCTGATGAAGCTGAGGAACCATTTAGAAATGTCTGTGCTCGAAGCAGCATTGAATATGTAAGTAGTGAATATATTACTGAGGGAATTTTCCATGTATTTGTTAGTCAGATTCCCAACTTGGCGGTTGTGTTAATACTTCAGCTGCTCCTGGATGCATTTGCAGTAATGATGTGGCAAAGGGCTTTGTTCCACATCCCTCTGTAGAATGGGGCACTATATTTTTATAAATGTAGGGTTTCTGAGATTTATTCCCTACATTTGTCTCCCTGGGATTAGGGTGGTGTATGCTCTTTCCGTGGCACTGTGCCAGTCCCAAACTGGAGCTGTGGAAGGCTGCAGCTGTCTGCTTGTTATTAACTGAGGGTTAGTGCAGGGACCGACACACGTTGGTGCTCCAACACCCAAACTGTTTTCCAGATACTTCATGAATGAAAGTTTAAATTCCCACTTTAGGATAACAAACCTCTGAGTCACATTCAGTCCTAAGATCCCACTTGCAAATGGTTTATGAACTTACAGAAAGGAGTTTTAACTCCTAGGACTCTTACAAATCTCACACCCAATTAAACTAATTCTAATGAGTCAATAATAATCTTCTGCTGTCCTCACTGTCATCCCCAGCACTAACCATACATGTAGTCAAATGCTGGGACAGACATCCAGAGAGGCTGTGGAATATCCACCCTTGGAGATATTCACAACTTGACTCAACAAGACCCTGACTAAACTAATTAAATTGGTGCTGCCTTAAGCAAAGGGTTGGATCAGATGATCTTCAAAGTCCATTCCAAACGACATTATTCTATGATTCTAAAATACATTTTGCCTAAAATATTTACTAATAATTTATTAATTCTTTATTAATTCTTTTCCACTTGGAAAAGCAGCTCCATTTGGAAAACTGAGTTCTATGCAATCTGTGGAAGTGGGTGTGTGAATTGACTCAATGGAGCTGGGTTTGGATCCATCAGGCAGCTGGAAGGCAGCTTCTCATGAGCAGCTCTGAACTTCCAACTTTCTCTGACCTGGTGCCATCAGAGTTTGTTCCCCTTCAGGTCACACAGCCAGACCCATCTACTCTCTGAGATGTACAAAGGAGAGATGGGTTGGAGGACCAAGGTCAGCTGCTCACAAGGTTAAAAAGGTTTTCTTAGTCATTAAATAGACATTTTTAAATACTGAGATCCATTGTGAAGTCATTATTCAGTGTATTTTCAGTGTTTGGTGTAAGCAGAACCAGGGATGTGCTAAACTGGGGTGTGAACACACGACATGCTCCATGTCACAGCTGGATGTCTGCTCTTCATCCAGCAGGAAGGAATTGAAGACAGGGATAAGAAGGCTAAGTTATCATACATTAGCCACAAAGACAGGAGGAAATATGCTAATAAAAATATCCTTGTGGTTCCTGTCCCTATCCTGGAGGTTGGTTCTAAGATAGGATGGGATGCTTAGATGGGGCTTCAAAGTCTGAGTTTGTGTTTCTGGTCCTCCTCACTACTCAGCCCTTCTCTTCATTTTTATGTGCCTTACCCAAAAAAACACCCTCTCGGTGATTTCACACCTGGTGCTGAAAATGGGAAAGATGCATTGAAATAATCTGTATGTACAGCAATCTACAAAATGAAAAGATGAAGCAACTGTTTTTGAAGCCTAGTGAGCAATAAAACCCAGGAAAAAATCCCAAGATTAACTTGTGCTTTCTATCTGCATTTAGCACTGGCTCTTGCTGCTGGTTCTATCCCATAATTTGGGAGTAGATTATTCAGTGTAATGTCCTGAAAAGACCAAGAGATTCCAGCATACCTTAGAGGGGTAAGAGACTCATAAAATGAATATACGGGAAAAAGACTACACCTGGATTAAATGGCTCTGGAATAACAGAAGGAATTTCTGATCAACCTTCAAGTATTCTTTTTTCTCCAAAGAGCAGCTGTGTACAAAGGCACTCATAGAAAAAATATTGCAGAAATACAGAGTAACACCCATGATGGAGGAGTGCTGTATTCTTACAACTGCAGCAAAAATGCTGGTAAATATTGGAGAAGTATTGCTTTTATTATGCTTCTCAGCTGTGGTCTAATGAAGGAACATAAACCTCACCCTTTTGGAATATTCTGAGGGATAATAATTAATATAATGTATCTAGGACCCAATTAAACTTGTTTCTAGATAATAATAATAATAATAATAATAATAATAATAATAAAGGATTTTATGTTTTGAAGATTTCAAGATGGTTAATTCCAAGGAAACAAGAAACTTCAGGTGGACATGGAAGGAGGATTTAAACAAACTGACAGTTTGTCTTCAGAGGATCTCCCTACAGAGTATGTATTTACCCAGTTACCCCTCTGAAATGTTATTTTCCTAGTTACAAAGCACCATGTAAACCTATCCCCCCCCCTGGATCCTAATGATCCTGGCTATTATTCAGCAGCATAACAGGTGGAGCTCAGAGCAGCGAGCCCTTCCCTTTGATATGCAGCGTGTCATCGTGTCTGACTTGTTCTTGAAATTAAATGGTCAGAATATGTTAATCACAACATCCAGTACAGAGTGTCTGTCAGACAAGTGCTAATGATTGCTCAGAGTGCCCCAAAGACAGAGATGTTGGCTTTGCTGGCTAAAAACTCGCTGTTATTTTGGAGCAGACCTTGCCCTTGGCTGCTGATGTCCCAGGCTGGGCAGAACATGCCCCAAATGCTCCGGGATCTTCACAGCTCCTGCCTTGGTGATTCCATTAATGCAGCAATTATAGTCAGGTGTTAAAAGGCAGGTTTGCTCCTGTGAATTACTTCTGAAGGGAACTGGAGATGTTTTACAATATAAGCATAAATGCCAGGGAGATGACACGGGGAAAATGGATGGAATGGTCTCCAGTTTCTCTCTAAATGGCTGGAAAGAGTCTTCTGAAGGTGACAGTGAGGAAGGGCAGAGTGTCTGAATCACCTGGACATCTCCTACATTTTGTTGGAAATGTTCCTTACTCAGATGAGCACTCTGAGGTGTGTAATAAATTCCTCTGATGGTCACAGAATATAAAATAATTTTTATTCAAGATAATCAGAATGCCTGATATCTTTTGACTGTCAGTTGTTTTAGTGATGTACTTTCTCATGTTTTAGGCCTTTCATAATCCCAGACATATCAACAATGGACAGTCCTGTCCAAGTTAATCAATAACCCACTTCAATTTTTTGTAAGGAGCAGAATTTCAATTTATGTTCAACAAAAAAAAAATCGACCTCAGGGTTGGGTTTTTTTTTTCAATGGTAGATATTTAGAGATCAAAGATATTTTTCAGGCTGTCTTTACCCCACAGTCTGTATTTTAGGATTTTGGTTCTTTTCCTTCTCTAATGCCTGTCTAGTTACAGACTCCTAAGTCAGCAACATGAAATCTAATTATGTAAGTAATTGTGGGCATTGTGCAATGAAGGGCATCCTGTGATAATCTAAATATGCTGTGTGTACAGTGAAAAAACCTATAATTCTAAAGAAAGAGTCTGAAATTGCTTGTTATTTGTAACAGCATAAAGTACTGAACATTTCTGCTCCATTAGAGTGATATGCACTTTATAGTTTCTTCACACACTGGAACTCATTCTCTAGCAGTTGGTCACCAGGCCTTTCTCCAAACTATAGATTTTTAACCAGTGTTTAACATAAAAAGCTGATAATATCCTGTTTGTCAGATGTTCTGAAAATAATGGGGAAGCAGACTCTGCATGTTTGAGCAGGAGGTTTCCAGCATTTCAGGTGTCTGGTACAGTCTAAACATGAAACCCACAAAACTATTAAATAATAGTGGCCTTCCTGAGTGAATGACATGTGATAGCACAAACTTTTTTCCAATGTCATCAAGGTTTTCCCTTTTTTTTGGCAATTGTTTATTCAGTGGCTATAAAACTTTGATAACATTAAAAACCAAACAAGCATAGAATACAGATCTAGAATAAGTTTGCATCCCAGGGCACTGAAGAAGTACCAATATCACTTCTGTTTAAGAGGAACCCGTTTCCTTTTCATTATGAGGGGGCAGACTTGCTTATCTGTGTGCCATGACATTATTTACAGGCTCAGAGAGCCCCAGAGTTGAGGCCAGAAGGGACAATTCCACCCAAGATCCCCATCTTGGGTCACACAGGAACGTCCTTCATTCAGCAGTTCTGCACCAGGTCCCAAATCCCGATTCACTGAAACCACACGATGAGAAAATCATTGCATCTTAATTTGAAGTGATTCACAGAAAGTACAGCACTGCTGGGAGTGAATCAAAGTCCTATAAATAAAATGCTGTAACCTTAATGTAAAAAGTGCATCTCGACTCTAATTTGTGATGGCAAAACTTCCAGCCACTGGTGCCTTTTATATCTTTTAATTAGTTTCATTTTCCAAACCTTAAACCCTGCAGTGGTTTGCAGCTCCATGAACAGATGGCCTCTGTGTTTCTTTACATTTGGTAGGATTTGGGAGCTAATGGGATGGCTCTGTCTAAAATTTTGTAGCTGCTTTGGAGCCGTATTCTAAAACTTCACCCTAAGTGTTACTGTTCATCACTTGTGTTTAAAGTTCTAATTCATGTTATTTCATATAATTTTGAGGGAGAACATTTTTATGAAGTGTGGGACTATAATAACTGCCTTCACCAGATCGATACAAGTCACTTCTTTGTTTTATTGTTTAGAAAAACAGTGCACCTCCTTTTAGAAAGGCCCAATTTTGACTAAAGAAAACGGACAAATTAAATGCAAGGAAGATGTGCAGTGTTCAGTTCTGTGCCCCAGTTTTATTCCTGCTATGCAAAAAATTTATTACTTATTGTCTTAAAGCTGTACCCATGTGTTCAGTCACGTGGCCAAAGACAGCAGTTTTCCCTGTGCTATACTGGATCATTTTAAACAACTGTATAATTACCCACATGTGTCTACAAACTGCTTTACATCCACATGGATCTGGACCCTTTTGGAAACAGGACAACAACAGTCTCATTTGTCTGCAAAAGAATCAAATGCTAAATATTTAACTGAATTTATTTAGAGTCATAATACCACCTAAGTGCAAAACCTTAAAAAGAAGTCATCTATGACAGTTGCACATGCTGTAAAAATTTAAAAATTTACCTTCCAAAAAAACCCTAAAAAATTCAGTGTTTGGGTTTTTTAAACCCCCGTGTCATGAATTAAAAAAATACCAATCAAACAAACTGAAACAGAACACTTTAGGAATGTTCTGAAAGCAGGCACATAAAGCATCACTAAAGTGTAAGGAAAGAGTTTAAATACTTTGAGTTAGTGGTTTATATATTGTTTATATTGTGCATTGTTTATATACTGAGGGAAGTAAGCAACACTTCTGTGCCCCTTGTAGCACTTTTGTGGCCTCGATGAAAGTTCCAAAATACAAACTGAGTTAATTTTGAGACCAGGTTTTCTGGGGAGTCAGCTATGGACAACCTGTCTTAGTAGAAGTCACAAAGCCAAATGCCACTGGTGTGTTCTGTTATTCAGACAGTGTATGCTCATAGCTGTGCACAACCAAAGCTCTCCAGCACTGCAACAAGCAAGGTCAACTTGGTTAGGTGAAGCTCTGTTTTTTAAGTGACTCTTAAAAAAAAAAAGTAGCCCTAGGGCTTTTAATTTTCCTGGTATATCTACCATATTTCTCAGCATTTGCTATTAAAGCACACTAAAATAGTTTTATAAAAGCAATTTTTTTAGTTTGAGTGTTCCAAAGTAGACTGTCCAAGAATAGATAACTTAGAATACACGTCCATTAATAAAATTGTAATGTAGCCAGAAAACAGCTGTGATAGTACTTTTAAAAGAAAATATACCACTTCATCACCCTGCTTTGCCAAAAGTGAGATAAATGGTGCTGCAATGAGTTTTTCCCTCTGAAGGTCAGTGTCCATGCTGCACATGAAACGAATCCCTGCCATTCCTGCTTCATGAGAACAATATTAACATTCATGAACATTTCAGCTTAAAGCATGTGATGAGTTTGGTTAAGAAGAACAATGCCAACTCCTCATCTTCTCTGGGTCCTTATTTCATGAAGCAAATCAGTTTGTTCCTCTGTGAGGATGGACCTCCTGGAGCTGGGTGAGTGTCTGTGGCCATGGTGACCTCTGGCAGTGGAAGCCCTTTGCAGGACAATGACCAACCTGATGCTGAAAAACAGCTGCTAAAGCGGGTGAGCTGCTTACCCTGGGCTTGCTGATGCTGCTGAAATTGGTGCAGCACAGAACTGGTGCAGTTTTTCAGAGCTCTGCAGTGTGTACAAGGCTCAAAGGTCAGCTCGAGAGCGCTGCTTTGCAGGACTGAGAACACCAAAGAAACTTTCAGTCCTATATAGGATTTATTAAGCTCATTAAAATAACACCCAGTCCTAAATGAGCCACGGCTTTGCTTAGTCTGTGTTGTGGCTCTTGAAACTCGGGTGTGATTCCCTCACACAATAGCAGTGAAAAGCCACAGATCAGAAGCAGCTGCCCCGTGTCTGCAGAGGGGAACGTGCTCCCAACAGGCAGCAGTTTCTGTCCCACTCCAGCTACCGGTTTGTCTCTGTTTGAGTCAGAGGCTCAAGGAACCTTCTCAGAAATGGAGCTACAGACTAGTCACTTTAAAAGAAAAATCCCCTCAAAACTGACTGGAAACCAGCCTTGGTTCATCCTGTGCCTCCCTCAGTTAGGCTGTATCTGCCACTGCAAAGCCCTGTTGCGCTGCTGTATAATCAGAGGGGGAATGAAAAGATAGGTCTTGCTATCAGTTCTTCTGTGAGATCTGAGGCTTATCACACAGTTCCTCTGCTAACCCTCAGGCTTACTACTCAAGTACTTTCCAAATCTTGAGCAAGTGATATATCAAATACTAAATATCTGTCGGCAATCCCCAGATATCCCCTCGATGCCAGGGAAAGTGTACGTATTTAAATGCACATCCCAAACACACCCTGGTGATTCTCGGTACTAAACAACATCCTCTGTGTCTCACCCACCACTTGGAAAGATCAACTGCCATTACACTGCAACTTTTAAGATGCTTGTCATGTTGGAATGGCTGCCTTTTGGTGGTAACAGGAGCAACAGCAGCTGGACATGAAGTAAAAAAGATGTTTAGAAAAAGTTCTGTTAAAGCTGTTCTGAGCTGCACAAAATCCTAGAATTAATAAGGGAATCTAGACATTTAACAGAAGTGTTATATTAAGGCAGAACTTAGTTCAGTTACCTAAAGGGATTCTGCCTTGTGGCTTGGGTATAAAAAAGCGTTAAAAATATTGTCCTTGGTTTATCACCTGTCCTTTGGACACATATCTTGACTGTAAAAAAATCAAGGGTTGTGTAAATTAAGATATACCAGCGATGCCGACTGCATATCCAAAATAAAAGAGTACTTTACATATCCTGATCAATCAGTAAGCAAGACTTTTTCCCCCTGTATACTAAATAGGCTACAAGAATAGCAGGTAATAGCAGGGGAGGAAAACTGCATCATTCATGGTACAAATTGAAGGTTCAGTTCACATTAAAAGGAGACTTGCCTCTGTCTTGTAAGCAGAGCAGGTTGTCAGTGGTGTTTGACATGAGTGGATGAAGCACAAAAAATCGCAGCAGCACCGCTGCAGAACAATTCAAATCACAGCCCCCAGCAGCCTGTCAGTAAATGGTCACCCTGTGCTCACTGCAACACCTGACACTGCTGCTGGATCAGTGGCACTCACTGGAAATGCTCTAAGTGGTCTCATGCCAGGAAGCCAAAGCACAGGATCATCAAACAAAGCAGGAAAAAGATCCATCATCCTTTGTGGTGCTCATGACAGAGCTAGGGACAAGCCATTTGACTGGGAGAGAGAACAGTCTTCCATCAATTCCTTGTGCTTCCCGAGGCAGCAAGAGGCAGTTCACAGGAGCTGACGGACCACGAGTGGCAGTCCCTGTGTCGAGTCCCACTGTTCTTCCAGGAAAGCGCGTTCTCTCAGTGCAAGGAAGGATCGACGAGAACAATGAGAACAGGAATCCAAGCGTGGCATGTGTACAATGAAAAAAACAAAGGGTGTCTTCCTTGGAGCTTGGAGTTGTTATTGTTTTGATCCACTTGATAAATCCATACAACACACTGTTTGCATAGGCCTCAGTCAGCAGGGAGACATGACAAGGCCACCTTGGCACTCCTGCTTTAATTTGTCATCTCATGCGAGTGGATGGGAAAGGCACTGGGAATCATTTGCTGCTGGTGAAAAGGAGGGGATGAGTCTCCTTCCAGTGGCCTCCAAATGGTCTTTGCTGAGTGAGAACAAGGAGGGAGCAGAGCTCTCTGATCCTCCTTAGCTGCTGTCAGGCCACACAGGCAGCCCGCTCACTGTGCATTCTGAGGGTGTATTTACATTTCAGCTCCCCTAAAAGCACCAACACATCACTGTTATGTACAAAACACTGCAGCAGGTCCTGAACCACAGCAAAGTCAGAGGAAGGAGCTGATCCAAATCCCCCAGGCTCTGAAGACATTGCTCAGCCCTGTGATGCTCAACAGTTTTGCTCTGAGAGACCCACGATTCCCACAGTTAATTGATGATCACAGTTCTTGACACCAAATAAATGCAGCATTGAGAAGGCCATAAAAGCTGGCCAAGGGCTTCTCCCTTTTTATTTTCTTAAGAAACATGAGTTTTTCTGTGGGTATAAGGTAAAAGAGATGCTATTTCCCTGGTACATGTAAAAACACATTATCAAACACAGCTTTCTCCAGCGTTTCTGTTGCATCTTCTGTGCATCATCAGAGCACAGATTTGGGTGATTTGGGCTTCCACTACACATATAACATTGCCAGATCATAAAGGGAACTTACAGGAACATTCAGTCTTACTAAATTCTGCTGCCTGAACTGTCAATTTAATTGCCTGACTCACGCTTTGTTTTTACATATAAAGACAGAAAAGTGGTCATTTTGCATTTCCAGTGTAGAAACAAAAAAAAACCAAACCCAACCAACCAAAGAAAAGATCATCTCTTCTTCGTTGCTTCTTTCGGTTTCCTGTGACTTTTATCACTGTTTCCATACTTTGATGTGTTTTGCTGACTATACAAACACTTCACACTATCATGTTTTGATCTGCAGCATGGGAACATCAGTCTGTAACAGTGACCACTCCAACAGAACACTGCCAAGTTCTTCATATTCTCTACCACCTCCTTTTCTGACTGTTCTGGTACATTGGTTCTGACATTTCAGCACAGTAGAAAACTATGAACCAGTGCTAATGTTTAATTACACAAGACTGGAAGCTGTTTTTCAACTGTTCTTGACTCTGGATTGTGAAAAGCTCGAGTTTGTGCAGCAGGACTCTATTACAGACTCTTGCTTCCAGTTACTGCAGTCGAATCACAAAGTTTTGATTGCTCCTCATCAGTCACTACTTATTCCTTCAAGAACTTCCAGGTTATTTCTCCTGGAGTCACATGAAGGCATTTTAGTACATAAATGTAGTTTCCCCTCTAATTCCTAGTACTTAACTTGGGATCCAAAGTTTCCATCCTCCTCCCTGCATAGATTTTGATAT